TATCGCTTCATTCTAGAAGGAACCAAACTTTGAAAATCTTTAGAGATCTTCTGAATTTTGGGCAAAGCGGATATTTTTGTATTTCGATAATTTCTCTGGAACTTATTCCCCTTTTTAATGGACCCAATCTCTCAAATACAGAAGCTCTCACAGTTGATTTTCCAAGTCGATCAAAGATAGAAGGTCTGTTAGAAGCGGCAGATTCGTCTTCTACAATGATATAATTGTTGCTCGCCCTTTTTATGGAGATGCGCACTGGTGACGGTTTCTTGTATCCCAAACCTTCACGTGGTTGCCTCGTCACATCTTCTGATGGGAGCTTGAATTAAAACCATGATTTTTAACAAGTTCAACAGTGGAAAATCTCATATATAACTGATAAAAACAACTAAAACTTAACAACAACAAATCCCAAAAACCCTGGTGTCACCGCGTAAATGAGCTCCTAATGTCAACATAATCTAAAACTCTAGTACAACTGTCTGAGAAAAAAAAACAGTACTGAAATAAAATAAAAGAAAGGAGAGTCAAGGTCTACGGGCGTCACAACAGCTACCTCGAAGTCTTCGAGCAGGTACTAACACCAGATCTAGCAATCACCGCATCCAGATGTACCTGGATCTGCACACGAAGTGCAGAGTGTAGTATGAGTACAACCGACCCAATGTACTCAATAAGTAACATGACTAACCTTAAGGTGAAAGCAGTGACGAGTTCAGAAAGATACAGTCCGAATCAAATAATGACAACACCGATATAACAAGATAATGACAGTGATAACTCAGAGAACTTCCATATTCAGCTCGTACACAATACAAAAATATAGGCATGCTTTCAAGTTCAACAATTTAAGCCCAACACTGATAAGATATGCCAAGTACAACTAGCATGAGGAATGTTACATCTCTTTGTCTACAAGTGAAATATGCATGTCAAATGTAATGCATCACAATGATGCTCCCAGGTACTCACACTCTCAGAGTACTCAATCTGTCTCAAACTCCCACTTATCACACACAATCACTCAGCATTGTATGGTACACGTGCTTACTGCTAGTATGTTAGACTTCGGAGGGGCGGATTCTGTCCAAGCATTAATATAAAGCCAATATGGCCTATTGCAGCATGCATCATGGTCTCATAATAATAAATAAGCCAATAAGGCTTGCTGTGGCATGCAGCCCGATCCATAATAATAATAATAGATATAAATCCAATATGGCCTGCTGTGGCATGCAGCCCGATCCATAATATCACTCACAATCCAGCTCTCAGGCCCCAACTCAGTCATCAATCTCTCTAGTCTCGCGGGCTCACAAATCTCATACCACTCAGCCCGAACAATGATAACATGATGTAACAGTAAATGATAACAGAGACTGAGATATGATATGCAAATGAAAAAATATGACTGGGTACATAATTGCAACTTAAGCAAATAACTCAACAACAGAAATGACCTCAGTGGGTCCCAACTGAATAACCACATAGTCTAAACATGATTTCTAATATGGATCAAAGCTCGGCTAGATAACTACACAGTACTACATAATCAACCGAGTCTTTATTACCACGGTGCATCTCCACACGCCCGTCACCTAGCATGTGCGTTACCCCAACACCAACCATATAACACGTATTCCAGGGATTCATACCCTCATTACCAAGTTTAAAAGTGTTACTTACCTCAAAGTGCACAACTCAATGCTCCAACAAACCCTTGCCTCGTGAATCGGCCTCCGAACAACTCGAATGTAGTCACAAATAACTTAATATAATCAATACAAGCTATAGGAATCGATTCCATACAAAAAAGCTAAGTTCTTTAACCAAATTCAAAATGTCAACCTCGAGCGCACGCCTCGAAACCCGAAAAAAATTACAAAATCCGAACACCCATTCAATAATGAGTTCAACTATACCAAAATCATCTAATTCCGACCACAAATCGAACCTCAAACCCCCAAATCTTACTCTCTAATCCCTTCTCCAAAATCCCCCAAATTTCACCTTAAAAACACATAATATAGGTGTAGAAATCAATGGGTATTCAATTTATCGGACAAAAGTGATCAAAAATAGCTTACCTCTTGATTTGTAGTGAAATCCCTCACAAAAATCGCCCTTAGCCGAGCTCCCCAAGTCAAAATATGTAATAATACTCTAATCCTCATTTTTGAAATTTAATAGTCTACCCAGTTGCCCTTCTTCGCGAACGCGGAAGTTGCCTCGCATTCGCGAAGCACAAAAATCCTCAGCAGCCAATTCTTCTTACGCGAACGCGAGACCTCCCTCGCGAATGTGACGACCACTGGTCCAATGCCTACGCGAACGCGACCTGTCTCCCGCGAAAGCGACCTATCTCGCGCGAACACGAAGGCTTACATGCCTGCTGCCCAACCGGCCTCATCCTTCTACGCGAACGCGAGTCCCCTCTCGCGATTGCAATACACAGACCCACTAGACCTTCACGAATGCATCCATCTCCTCACAAACGCCATGAAAAAACTTCACCAGGCACCCAAGTACTCTTCGAAATCGCTAGACTTGTCTCGCGAACGCGTATAAGGAAACCAGATACAACGATTTTAGCTGTCCAATAAGTCCAAAAATGATGAATCACACCCGAGGCTCCCGGGACCCCATCCAAACATACCAACACATCCTAAAATATCATACGAACTTAGTCGAAGCCTCAAATCACATCGAACAACATCAAAATCATGAATCGCACCCCAATTCAAGCCTAATGAACTATTGAACTTCCAACTTCTAAAACCAATGCCGAATCACATCAAACCAACTCCGATTGACCTCAAATTTTGCACACAAGTCATAAATGACACAACGGTCTTATTCCAACTCCCGGAACCAAAATTTGAATCCGGTATCAAGAACATCAACTCTCGGTCAAACTTTTAGCTTTCCAAACCTTCAATTTTCCAACTTTTGTCAATTAAAACCAAAACACCCTATGGACCTCCAAATCAATAGTCGGACATACTCCTAAGTCCAAAATCACCATACGAAGCTATCGGAACCATCAAAACTCCATTCTGGACTCGTTACTCATAAGTCAATATCTGGTCAACTCTTTCAACTTAAGCTTCGAACCTTGGGACTAAGTGTTCCAATTCATTACGAAATATCCCCGGAACCAAACCAATCATCCCGATAAGTCACATAATCACAAATGAACATAGAATAAGCAATAAATGGGGGAACAAGGCTATAATACTTAAAATAATCGGTCGGGTCATTACACTAACACGATCGCGAAGCAGCAGCGGCCAAATGCCTCCGCAGTCACGAGCCACTCTTCGCGTTCGCGAAGTCTTACTCCCCCCTGCCTTCGCTTTCGCGATCCAGTGAATGCGTTCACGAAGAGTAACTGATAGGCTCCCTCCCAGGACCCCATAACCCTATGCAACGCAAAGGGTAAACCCCTATCTACTTCGCTTTCGTGAAGAAGAAACTCTTCCTTAGCCTAGATTCCCCTTTGCAATCGCGAGAGAGGCTTCGCGATCGCGAAGCACATGACACCAGATATCAATAGAAGCCAAAACCAGCAATTCTTTCTAAGTTCAAATGGTATGTAACCTATCCGAAACTCACCCGAGCCCCTTGGGCTCCAAACCAAATATGCACATAAGTGTAATAACATCATACGAACTCTCTCGCGCGATCAAAACACCAAAATAACACCTAGAACTACGAATCGGACATCAAAATGCATGAAATTTTCAAAAAACTCAAGAACTTTAAAATTCACAACCGAGCGTCTGAATCCTATAAAATAAACTCTGTTTTGTACCAAAATTTGCAGACAAGTTTTAAATAGTAAAATGAACCTATACCAAGTTCCGGATTTGAAATTTGAATTGGGTAGCAATAAAGTCAACCTACGGTCAAACCTAGGAAATTCTTAAACCTTAAAATTACTAGTTTTCAACCAATCACGTCAAATCAAGTTAGGAACTTGCGAATTTAATTTCGGACATACGCCCAAGTCCAAAATCAGGATACGGACCCACCGAAATTGTCAAAATACCGATCAGATATCATTTACCCAAAAATATTGACCGTAGTCAACTCAAGTCATTTTTAAAGTATAATTCATGTTTTCTTCAATTTTTCACATAAAAGCATTCCGGAAAAAGACACGGAATGCACACGTAAATGGAAGAATACTAAACGGAGCTAACTGAGGTCTCAAAACATTGAAATAAGGGCTAGAACTCAGAATGACCTATCGTGTCATCAGAGTAATTTTATAAATAAGATATGAATACTGATATAGTAGTTCCTATTGATCGTGCAGCGCGAGTACTAATTCTAGTTATATATAAAAACACGATGAATTTATTCTTCTCTGATAGAATTTGAAAAGGCATTTTTTTCCGAAATTCAAAAAGAAGTCTATGCCAAATGGAATGACTACCGCGTTCTGTTTATTTGTAGTTATCCACTCCCCACACTCCTACATTTTACACATAACAAACCCTTCCCCTTTCTTCTTTCTTCGATCTCTTTGCATATATATTCATCAAAGTTTCAATGTTTCCTTAAACCCTTTGAACAGAGACAAAATGTCGAGGCACGACCCTATGCAAGGACAAAATAACAACAACAAAAGCCATGAAAACAATAGCCAAGAATTTCAGATCCCAACAAATGTCTCTCAACAAAACAACAATCACTTTCTCACATTGTCTCTGTCGTCTTTTTCTTCTGCTACTCCTGCAGTTCCTGCACCAACACTCCCTTCCGTACAACTAGCTTTTGTACTCGCCCTGCCCCCGCCCCCATCTCGTCACGGTCCAATTCGGTGCAATCGGCGAAAACTTCGTGAATCGGCAAAAAGCAACACCATCCCACAACCTTACCCTTGGGCCACAAATCAAAGAGCAATCATTCACAGCCTCAACACCCTTAACTCGAAGTAGATTTTTACTATTACTGGAGACGTTCAATGCAAGAGGTGTGAACAAAAATATGAAATGGAGTTCGATTTAAGGGAAAAGTTTGCCCAAGTTGGGGCCTTTATTGCTCTAAACAATGTGGCCATGCATGACCATGCGCCTGATAATTGGATGAATCCTGTATTGCCAACCATCAAGTTTTGTGAACAAGAGAACAATGTGAAGCCAATTATCGCACCCAAAACGAAAGAGATTAATTGGCTTTTCTTGCTTTTGGGTCAGTTTCTTGGGTGTTGTACCCTTGAACAGCTCAAGTATTTCTGCAAGCATAACAAGAATCACAGGACTGGTGCTAAGGATCGTGTTCTTTATCTCACGTACCTGACTCTTTGCAGACAGCTTGATTCTACTGGCCCATTTGATCGCTAAGTGACAAGAAATAATTACTATTTCTTTTTATCATTTGGAGTGAGTATTAAGAAGCTATGAATATGATTATGTAAGAATATTACTATAATTACTGCTAATATTACTATTTCTAGGATTTACTTTTAGCTTTAGTTGCAAAGCATATGTTTTGGTATGCGTAACCAAGTTTTATGTTGCTGTTCATTTTGGTCAAGACCCTGGTTCTGATTTTTGGTAATGTTGTTCTCTAATTAAATCTTGTTTCAATGTAGACACTATTTGGAGGATTTTGATTATTTCTCTTTATGTTTGAAGTTTGAGCAATTATATAAATTTACGGGAATTAAGTTAGATTACAGTTGTTTACCCAAAAAATGAATAGAGTTGAATTTGTACGTAGTTCTAAGGATACGTGATATAACATAATACAAATTGTAAGGATAAATAGAAGTATCAATTGTAGATTATAAAGAACGATAAATAAACGAGGTTGGAAAGAAGATGACTTTTAGGATTGAACAAGGTGAATCAATGTATGAAGCTTAAAAGAATATCTCTCCAATATAGAAATATATGATGTTTTTTTGTTACAATGCCCGGTGTCCCCTTTTACAGAAATGTAGCCATGCTCTTTATAGTGGAGGATCCTACTTTAGATATAATTAAAAATACATAGTGAAAAACCCATGATAGATCAACTTTTCCCTAATTCCTGCCGGAATTCCTTCCCTTAGTGCGGTTGCAACGGCTCTTGCCTGCGAGTTCGAGCTTGATCAGACTCGGTACCAGTCAGTATTGTTTTAGAACTTGATGCGGACTTGAGCTCGGTGCTGACTCGGGGTCTGGGTTCGATACCGGCTGGCGTTTCCCCTTAAGCTCGATTCCATAACATTTCAGCACAGTTTGATTGGGATCCGAGCTCGATGACGACTTCGAACTCAATGCTTGATCGGTCCCCAAAAATTGAAGCTCGTTGGTGTCTTCTTCGGGTCACATCTCGATATTACAAAGACTTTTTTCGATCCATTATATTTCGAACCCGATCGATAGTATGAAGGTCGAAATCTATTTCGACCGTTTCTCAAGAAAGATGTGGTGAGAAACGATATGATTTCTCAATGGCTCGATTGGATATGCGCTGACGTTTGCATCGAGCCCGACCGTGACATACGTTATAAATGTCTGTTGGTTTAGCTTATCAAGGTATTTAATGCGTGTTAGACGGTGGTCGGCCACCGCTGATATTGAACTGACATTGCTTCAATCTATAAATAGTCCTTTCTTTTACCATTTATCATTTTTATGTCTTCAATCTTCAAAAATTTTCTAAATTCCTTTTCGACTCTTCTGAGTTTATTTTGCAGATCTGTGAATCTTTTATGTACAACTTTTCTTCAAGACCACCAAATTTTTGTCACCTTCTTTGAATCCAAAAATGGTGAAGACATCAAAAATCATCCCCTAAAAAGAAAAGGCTTCTTCTTCCCAATCAGCCGCTGAAAAAACACCGGTGGATCCTCGGCCTGAGGAATGAGTTCCGGCAGCATGTGTTCTCACCTCCGATTTCAAACTCGATAAAGGCTCTCCGGTTCCCGGCCGATGTGAACCTGTATCGAGATATATTTGTTCGATGACCCGGGGGTATATCGAGCAGATAAAAAAAGATTGTAACTGGGGGAACAAAGAAGTGATAATAGCGTCGTCCGAAGAGGATATTACTACTTACGTGAAAGGGTTTTTAAGTGTGTACACATACCCTTTCACGTTAGGCCCGCTCGACCCCGTTATCGTAGAGTTTTGTCGTAAATACCTAATAACCCTCGTCCAGATCTATCCCTCTTTCTAGCGGATCGTTATTCTGATCTGATACTTCATGAACAAAATCGAGGGGATGCCTTTCACCCTCAATCAGTTCATCTGATTGTACCATCCTCGCCTTTTTCAAGGAGGGTTAATAAAACTTCAGCGTCGGGATACCAAGGCCCTATTCTCAAGCATAGATGAGGATAGGGATCGAGGCTGGATTGACAGGTTCGTTCGAGTGAGGACTTCGGACCTGATTCCGACCGAAAAGATGCCCTTTCCCGAAGAGTGGAATATGAAGCGTAAGTGTAATTCTGTTGTTATCTCTTATTACTTTGCTTTTCCATTTCTTTTCTCACCGATATCTCTCTCTTTGTGATGCAGCAGTCCCCTAGATGCCCGATGCGATTACCGATCTCAAGAGCTGGGTACGGGCTCTGGTTTTGACCTCCACATACGCCGAGCGCTGATGGCGTGACTTATCGAAGGGCCGATGGGAAGCAAAAAATCATGGTAAGTCCCTTTCCCGTATTTTTTGGTAGTTCGAACGAGATGCTTCCCATATACTTTAATAAATTTTCCCATATGTAGGTGTGGGCAAGGATGCGGTTTTGAGGCCTCCGTCCATCGAGGAAGAGGCTTCGGCCTCTGTTCCAAAGTCGATGAAGGAACATAAGAGGAAAAGGGTCTCCATTCCCGAAGATCCAAAACCGAAGAAGAGGACGGCTCGTAAGCCGAGGGATACCATTCCTTTGATTGTGGAATCGGTTCTGTGTCTAAGGGATGAGGACGAAAAAGAAAAGGACGGGTCCGCATTGGCAGCCCGAACGAAGAAAAGCACTGATGTCCCGAAGGTGGCTGAATCGATGATGATTCATAAAGCTCGGCCTCGGACCGAGGAGAGATCGGAGGGAGGTTCAGGCAAAGTCCCCGAGTCATTAGAGGTCGAGGATGCTTCTTTCTAAAGTCAGCAAATGGTGGGTACATCGGAAAAAGGCGGTCCTGAAGCTCTCCGAACTGAGGAGAACTCCCCGAGCGAGTCGCCTGGGGCAATAGTAATCGGAGATTCGCCCACTCTCCCTGCCTTTTCCGAAGGGGCTATTCGGGAAGCCCAAGCTTTGGGGGCCCTCGAGATGAGCCCGTATCATGAAGGGGAGGACCCTTGCCGTGATCTGTTTACGGGGGTCGAGGACGCTGCTGACCCTAGTGATGTGTCGGGCTTTCTCTATGAAGTCTAGCTAGCCCTGAATTGGGTAAGCTTTTAACTCTTTCTGTTGACATTACCATTTTTTATGTTTTGATGTTTTTTCCTAATTTCTTCTCTTCTTTCTTCGCAGGCCATGGTGGTGCATCGAGAAGCATGTTCTCGGTCTCAGGCTGAGCAGCATCGGTTGGAGACTGATCTTCAATAGGTCACGGAGGAGAGGAACTCCCTTAAACTCCTCATAGGGCAAAGGGGAGAGGAAATCAAAGACCTCCGAGCCGAGTTGGCTAAGGCTCGCCAAGATCAGACAGATCTGTCTGAGCAGGTAATGATACTTTTACAAACATATGGGCTTGATACCATAATGATGGCTAATTTTTCAGTCTCGCAGCTGCAGCGAAAAATTGAGATGATCGGGAAACTCCGGGAGGAGGTCAATGTGATACAAGCGGAATCCTTGAAGTGGAAGAAAGGTATGGATCGCTTTGCTGCAGAGAAAGAGGCCGCTCGAGCACAACTGTCATCGGCCGGAAATCAACTTCAAAGCATGAAGGAAAACAGCTCTGCTCAAGTAAGAAGAATAGGGGAGCTCGAGGCTCGGTTGGCCTATGAACTTGCTAAGGCCGAATCTGACGCCAAAAAGGGAAAGGCCGATGTGGATGTACTCGTGGCCGTTTATCGGGCTGATGCCGAAGCAGCTCAGGTACAAGCAAGAGAGGTAGCCGAGACCGCCGACACTCGAGCACATTGGGTTGCTGAGCTTGCTAAGTGCCGATCTCGGAGGGAGACACTCGAGGAGATCCATGATCGAGGTTTCGACTTCACTGACGAAATAAGAAGGGCTAAAGAGATCGAAGCCGATGTTAAAGCCTCAGTTTCTGATGATGATGATGATGATGATGATGATGATGATGATGATGGGGGCAAGAGCGGATCCGAGAGCGGGGATGGACCCGAGGGAGAAAGAATTGACCCCGGGGCTAACCAAGAAACTTATTCCCTTAGTTTCTATTTCGGATGTTGTGAACTATCATGTAAATAGTCCTGTAAATATATACAAATATCTTTTCTTTTTATGTCTTACCTCTGTTTTATTTTCTGTCTTGTGAAGATTCATGCCTTATGAATGTTTTTATAAGGCTTTAGGCAATTTTTAATCGAATTTGGATTATGTAGCCTTTATGGTGAGTGCTCTCGAACTCAAAATAAGAGTAGCCCATAGTTTTTTGAGTGAGTGATTTCGAACCCGAAGTAATGTACCCGTAGGCTTAATGATTGAGTTAGTGATTTCTCGAACTCAAGATAAGAGTAGCCCGTAGGCTTATTTTTCGAATGAGTGATTTCGAACTCGAAGTAATGTAACCCGTGGGCTTAATGATTGAGTTCGTGATTTCTCGAACTCAAAATAAGAGTAGCCCGTAGGCTTATTTTTTGAGTGAGTGATTTCGAACTCGAAGTAATATAACCCGTAGGCTTAATGATTGAGTGAGTGATTTCCCGAACTCAAGATAAGAGTAGCCCGTAGGCTTAATATTCGAGTGAGTGATTTCAAACTCGAAGTAATGTAGCCCGTAGGCTTAATGATTGAGTGAGTGATTTCTCGAACTCAAGATAAGAGTAGCCCGTACGCTTAGTATTCGAGTGAGTGATTTCGAACTCGAAGTAATGTAGCCCGTAGGCTTAATGATTGAGTGAGTGATTTCTCGAACTCAAGATAAGAGTAGCCCGTAGGCTTATTTTTTGAGTGAGTGATTTCGAACTTGAAATAATGTAGCCCGTGGGCTTAATGATTGAGTGAGTGATTTCTCGAACTCAAGATAAGAGTAGCCCGTAGGCTTAGTATTCGAGTGAGTGATTTTGAACTCGAAGTAATGTAGCCCATAGGCTTAATGAATGAGTGAGTGATTTCTCGAACTCAAGATAAGAGTAGCCCGTAGGTTTAGTATTCGAGTGAGTGATTTCGAACTCGAAGTAATGTAGCCCGTAGGCTTAATGATTGAGTGAGTGATTTCTC